CCGTAAACCCCAAAAGCTTAGGGTTTAGGGTTTTAGGGTTTATAGGATTTAGGGTTTTGGGGTTTTAGGGTTGAGGGTTTCGAAAGTTTAGGGGTTCAGGAGGACAAGGGTTTGGGATCAGGGGTCTAGGCTTAAATTGGGCCGTGATAATTAGAATCGGATATTGGGGCCCATTTTTCTATAAGCATAATAAGCAAGCCCCAAAACAGTATTGGTAATTTTTTAGGCCCCTACATTACACTCCAGGGCGTGACCCCGCAACAAGGCTTGTTTCACAAGTTACTACCCACCGGTTCAGCCCAAAAGGCGTGCAAAGGACACCACAGCAGTTCCGCCGTAATCTGGACTAGACTAGGATCCCCCAACCCAAAAGGCAAATCCGAGACCCTGAACCCCTGAACAAGCGTAAACCCTAAACCTGAAACCCCAAACCCTCGAGCGTTACGTCGCTGTCGCCACCTGGGTTCCCGGCATGATCTCAAGATGCGAGCGGGAAACGCAACAAAGATATCTGGCAAGGCTGTGGGCATCTTGGGCTTCTGGGGGTAAGTGCTACCCTAGGGTCCAGGGTTTAGGGTGTGTGTGTGTGTGTATGTATATATATATACACACATACATATATAAATATCTGCCTATATATATATATATACATACATACACATATATACATACATACATTCATACATACATATATTCATTCATTCCTACATACATATACATATATGTATATATACATACATATATGCACACACAGTTACATACATGCATACATACAAACAAACATACATACATACCTAAACCCTATGGGGCCTAAGGCTTTTGGGCTGATTAGATTGAGGACGGGGTTGCCAGGGCTGCCAAGGTAGCCGGCTCATTCAGCGCGCCGATCAATTCGCAGCTGAACCTAACCTATGCCCACCTTTGACCAATCCCGCAGCGATACATTTCCAATTGGCACCTCTCGGACGCACTTGTCGCAGCTCCTTTCCTCAGAGTTTCAGCCCCCAGCGAAGTAGCCACAGCAATGACAGCTGTAGACGCTGCTGTAGGGGCCAGATCGAATATGAGCAGTCCTACACGGTGCGGCTACCAGTCAAGTGTATGTATGTACGTATGTATGTATGTATGTATGTATGTATATATATATATCCATATATTATTTATATATATATATATATGTATGTATGTATGTATGTATGACACAACAACCTGCACTGGTAAACCTGCAGGGCCTGAACCCCAAAATTCCTAAAGCCCTAACCCCTAAACAACAAAACTCGAAACCCTAAACCCTAACCCCTAAACCCCTAAACCCCAGACTCCTAAATCCCCTAAAACCCCTAAATGCCTAAACCCTGAAACCCCTATCACGCGCCAAGGTTTTGCTTCTTCATAGTTTAGGGTTTAGGGTTTAGGGTTCAAGGTTTTGCTTCTTCATAGACATACACGCAATATAGGGGTCTTAATAATTAGAACGAGGTTTTTTTGGGCCATGATACTAGAACTATAATAAGGAGCCTCAAAATAATATATATATATATATATATGTATATATTGGTAATTATTTAGGCCCCTACAGTATGTGTGTTCAACTCCAAATCTGCAGGTGTATTTGTGTGTATTTCGACGTGTACATGTAGTTCTATACCTATACTAAAACGACCTCCGGTCGTCACACCCCGCATTTACGCAGAAAAGTCTGCTTCTATGTATATGTATATATATACACACACATATATATATATATATATATATAGTGCTACCTACAGTAAGACGATCCCTGGTCATCACACCCTGGCCTTTGTGCAAGCTCCGCAGATAGGAGCTGTTCAAAAAGGCCGCTTTGATGTAGGCGGCCGAGCATTAACCTGGCATGATGGAGTCTCAAGGATGAGGGGCCCCTGAAAGCGTTAGGGCCGTTAGGGCTTAGGGTTTAGGGGTTTAGGGTTTGGGGGTTTGGGGGTTTAGGCGTGTAGTGTTTAGGGTTTAGGGGTTTAGGGTTTAGGGGTTAGGGTTCAAGGTTTAGGGTTCAGGGGTTTAGGGTTTAGGGTTTAGGCTATTGAGCCGTTTAGGATCTTAAGGTTCAGGGTCTCGGCTGCGGTTTAGGGATGTGTTTACGGTTTACAGGCTGTAGAGCTTCAGGGTCTCTAGGGTTTAGGGGAAGAAAGTCGGAACAGGATGGACAACAGCAGTGACAATGGCAACAGAAAACATGGTATTTTTCGCGGACATGGCTGCCAGAGTGAGAAGTTTGACAAGGAATGGGGCCCTGAACCCTAAACCCTAAACCGCCGAACGTGACAAGACGAAACAGGAACGGGATCCAACCGCGAAGCCCAGAAGCCTTCGCTACTAAGCAGAAGGACTAGGGCTCGAGCACATGATGCAGGGGCCTTCATAATTAGAATAGGGTTTTGGGGTATATACTGTAACTATAATAAGGAACCCCATAAAATAGTATAGGAAAATGCTTAAGGCCACTATAGAAAAACCGGGGTATATACTGCAATCATAATAAGGAACCCCCTAAAATAGTATGGGTAATGGTTTAAGGCCACTATAACACAGAGTAAGACCACCCCGACGGCTGAAGTGGCAACTGCAAGGCAATGCGATCGGTGGCCCCTTCTAACCTCTGAACCCAATGCCTTGAAACCCTAATCCCTGGACCCTAAAGCCTCAAAGCCCTAAAAGCCCAAAAATTCCTAAAAGCCCTAAAACCCTAAAGCCCCACAGCCCTAAAGCCCTAAAAACCCTAAAAGCCCTAAAAACCCTAAAAGCCCTAAAAACCCTAAAAGCCCTAAAGCCCTAAAGCCCTAAAGCCCTAAAGCCCTAATAACACCCTAACGCCCTAAGCCCGACATCCGGAGAGCCGGAGGCTGAAATCATCTGACCCTTCGCCTTACAGAAGAAAGCATAGCACTTGGATCAGGGTTGAGGGTTTAGGGTTTAGGGTTTAGGGTTTAGGGTTTAGGGTTTAGGGTTTAGGGTTAAGCGTTTAGGGTTTAAAATTTAGGAGTTTGGGGTTTAGGGTTTCGGAGATTAGGCAAGGAGCTTCTGTGCCAAGTCCAGAGGCACTGTGCGTGCTTCTGTCGGCATCTGGGAGACCTGGGTACTTGAAGGTTCATGGGTAGTTATAAGTGGGGGTACAAGTAGGGTAACTATAATTATAACCCATATTAGGGGACTTATAACTTCACTTATAACTACCCATGAACCCTAAACCCTAAACCCTATAGAACCCTCTAAAGGAACCCTTAAAGGAACCCATAACTTCATTTATAACTACCCATGAACCTCCAAGTAGAGCTGATCCGCTTTCAGGTTGAGAGGCTGAGGATGGCGGGGCTGAGAGTCATAGCGTTTCTATACGGGCTCACGGCTAATATCGGGGCCTACATAATTAGAATAGGGTTTGGGGGGTGTTGTATACTATAGTTTCTAAAAATAAGGAGATCCCAAAATAGTATTGGTAATTGTTTAGGCCCCTTAGGGCTTCAGGGTTTCATTTCAGCTTGAGAGGTACAAGGAGCCTACTGGGTCGCAGGTTGGGGCACGACATGAGGGGCACGAGTGAGATCCGATCGTACAGCTAAAATGGGAACCTGACTCAGAAACCCTGGGTCCTTATTCGGGTTCTTGCTATGAATATCAATTTTTTTGGGCTATAGGGCCAGGGTTTCTTAATCAGGTTCCTACATTACCCTAAGAAAACTAAGACCAAACAAGGAACACACGCACAACAGAATCATGTGTTTAGGTGAGCAGTGACACTGTCTGGCAATCTGACATATCCGTGATAACTAAACAACCAAGCTTCTGATCGCTGTAGCCCTGATCTCCCATTTAGGGCCATGATGTAACCCAACGAAAGATAACATAGAAGAACATCAATACGTTTTACTATACTATACTATACTGTACTATACTATACTATGATATTTCGAGTTCTAGTACAGTATAATCTGCTATAACAGGTTGTAACCTAATATAGTACAATATGATATTATGAAGTACGGCATGGTGTCACATAACACAAAAGCATATAGCTTATGACAAAAGAATCCGGCACAATACAAGGTAGTATAATTATTGATACATATCTATATATATATATATTGTAATGTTGTTGCAATGTATATGCATATGTGTACATACATATATACAGTATATATATATATGTACACACACGCATATATATATATATATATATACAGACGCGAATGCGAAATGTATTGTAACATGGTGTAGTTTCTAATGTAGACCTACTCGAAATCATGCAAACCTGTATGAAAAAGGAAGCTTATATACATATATATATATATATATATATATTTATAGAGAGAGAGAGAAAGAGAGAGAGAGAGAGAGAGAGATGTGATACAACATGATGTCCTTCAAGAGCTTCGATCGAAATCTCAAGGCAAAGGTCCGGCAACTGAAACAAAGGTGGAAGCAGATCTCTTCTTTTGATGAGCCGCTGTGGTACCGTCCCTTGATGGAGGTACCGTCTGCTTGTTGCTAGGACTAGGACTACTTCGAGGCTCATGGGTAGTGAATGGTAGTTATAAGTGAAGTCTCAGTCACCTACAGTAATATGAGTTCTTTTTATAGCTACCCCACTTGCAACCCTACCTCTAACTACCCATGAACCTGCAAGTAGGAGGCGGCGGTACACCTTCAGGTCGATGGCGGGCGGCCGCTGCTGAAGGCAAAGTGGCTGCACTTGACAGTGAAACCAGGCATGGACCTGCAGTAAGTAAAGCATTGTGTCCCAGACACGCTTCCTCAGTCATTCAGTGCAAAGATGCACATCTGCCCGAACAGTTTTGGCATTGACGCGGGAGGATCGGCCAGACTCGATTCCTTGCTGTTTGTCAACCTGTAAAGGGATGGCCAGCCACCGGAAGCTTCAAAAGCAAAGCACGCAGGCAGCTGTCAAGTCCAACCATCCGTCAGCTCTGCAAGCTTATTCGGCCGATCTCGATGGTGGTGCGGCGTCACACTTGGTCTTCTGCTTCCTCGTTGCAGCACAGACAAACTCCAAACCTTAGCCCTCAGCCGTTGCCTTACAAGGTTGCACCACTTCCCACACGCACAATGGCCCACGAAGAAGAATGCTCTTGCAGTCAGTTGAAGATACCAGAATGTGTCACAAGGCGAAATGATAGGAAGGCCTTACCCCTGGAGTACCCTCAAGCAGTGGTGGTGTGGAAATAGCAGTGGCAGTCGACGTATGTGGTGGTAATCGTCTTCGTCGTCACAGTAGTCGCAGTAGTCGCAGTAGTAGTAG